GGATTTCAAGATGGGTTTTTTGCTCATTTTTATTCCAATGATGCTGTTGTCGATAGGTATCATGTCATGAGACCAAATATCCATTTCAAACGCTCACTGAACGGTAAGAGTTCTGTGGGCTGCTAGTGGACGGCCCGCAAAATGTGACGTCGCAGAATCATATAATTATCAGAGCTGGAATGTTTTTGCAAAGTTAAGCGAAAGCCAAATGTAATTCTTTTGTGTGTGTGTGGAGGCCATTGGTTGCTGGGCCTGAGACCATCGCTTCACTACACGCTTGAGAATCCAGTTTGAGAATTTTTACTCTTTGGTTTTTGTCGGTAAAGTCACCTTTAAAACAGTCTGCATCAGCAGCAGGTCATGCTTTCCCACCTGACGACGGACGCTTGTGTTGCGCCCGAAACGTCGTGATTTAATGTAGTTGTTTTCATTTATTTTATTCTATTGTTTACCTACGTGACTTTACTGAAAAAACAAAGAATATGAATCCTTGCAGTCACGAAAGCTTCAAATCTAGAATTTGATAATTTTGGCAAAACCTGAATGCGGACCCAGGATTTCCAGGATCTCAAGTGATGCCAGCCCAACGGTGAGCGACTCCTCACCAGGCGGGCGACACGGCCTAGCAGTGGCACTTTCGCCACTTGTTCTTACATCACAGGATTGTCAAAGATGGCAGCGGCTTGCGGAGGCGTCTGTACAGCAGGGGATTGACATAGAAAACTAATTTCTTTAGAAATGCTTTTTGCGTCGAGTTTGTCGTCCATCCCCCGCACCTCCGATTAGCTAGGTACGGTGCGAAAGAAGTTCAACGTTACACTGTTGCAGAGGTTCACGGTTCGAATTCAGCAGACGCCCTGGTTAATACTGCAGGTGTGTGAAACGTAAAAATACGTGCTGTCTGCTTGCTTCACAGTGGACTTTAATGATCCCCGTGACATAATTCGCGGAGAGCAGCCCGCTGCGTGACAGCGTCATGGTCTAAACGTCCAATTTTGAACGAAAAAAAACCACGAGCAAATTGCTCAATTGTAATGTACACAGCAATCATCGCCACCCCCCCACCCTACTGTAAACACGGCCAGCCACGCTTTCGGTTACACGGGTTAGATGAGTGGGCTTTATATCGTACGCCGCCTTAATGCAAAACACAGGCGAAAAAATGGGGAATTATTTTCACAGATGTCTTCTGACAGCGGAATGTGGTGGGAAAAGATATCTATCCCCCCCCCCCCAAAAAAAAATATAACTATGGAAGGCCAAAAAACCTTCCCAGTTACATCAGTGGAATTTCATGCCCATTTTACAGGAAGTTAACACTTAATTCTCATGTTCCGATGAGACGAAAGAGCGATGTGCATGTGGAGATGAGAACGACACTGGGAGAGACAAGCTGCGCGGCCCAGCTAGGGGTAAGCTCTGTCTCTCTCTTCCCACCAGCCCGTGATAGACTGCCTAAGAGCAGCTCTGAGTCATGAGCATGTCCAACTCAAGGGCAGTCCTCCAATCCTTTTCTTTGTTTTTTTCTGTCAAAGTATGGCGCAGCCCTGCGAATGCCTAGCTCACACCACTGTTGGCGGAAGGGGCCTCTCCCCCCCCCCCCCCCGCTAGATCGAACTCTAGAAGGTATTTGGCCTACTCTTCCACATCGACAGAGACGTCTTGGAAGAGGTGGGTGTACGTACACTTTTCCTCACCGCGCGCACGTGCAACCAAACGATTGCCTGCGATGCACCCATTCGTAGCTGCTGGGTGAGGAGGTGTGGGGAGAGATTTGATAAACTTGCACCGTCGCTTCAGAGATGGAATGGAACACGCGAGCTCTGGATTACGAGTGGCGTGTGCTGACCATTACAGTATGGCAATTAAAAATCACGGGTGTCAGTGGTGGCACGGAGGGGATTCGCACTGTGTTGAGAACCCGGTGACCCGAGTTCGTTTCCCCGCTATGGCTAACATTCATCAACCCCCTCTCGACCAGCATGCAGAAGTACGGCCAAACAACGCCCATGACCAACAATGGCACGGGGGGATGCATTTATCCAGCATTGGATTACCAAAGGGCTATACAATTTTAAAGCAAGATGCAATCAATCAGGCGTTTGTGTTAGAAGGAAACACCAATGCTGTTGACGTCACCACACCTCGCCATCGCTTCCTTCCCTCTGCTAGCTCGCGCAACTCCTGCAGGCAACACCCAACCGCCAAAGGGTTGGTGAATCAGGCAGGCATGTGAAGCCTTCGTGGACGAGTCTAACCGAAGTGCGCTTGAAGCCCACTGGCACCCATCCATGGTGCCCCGGTAGGGGCGGCACAGGTATCAAGGCAATGAGCGCCGATGGCCGACAGCCTCTACAAAATCAATATGGCCGCCATTTCCGAGGATCATCTTAGATTCACGTGGTGATTTTCAACCACGAACACAGAAACCCGCAGACATGCGTAAACCAAAACTAAACTATTTTTACTTTACCAGGTAAGGTCCAATGAGCTATATAGCTCTTTTTCAGAAGTAGCTTGTCTAAATGTATGTTTTTAAATGTGGAGGGGAAAACCCGGAGAAAAATCCACACAACCAGAGGGAGAGCATGTAAACTCCAACTATGCAGGCGACAGGGTCGGGATCGACCTCCTGTAAACCAGGCGAGGTAGTTACCATCTCGCCAATGTGGCGACGTAGAAACCCCACAAGCTCACAGAGACCTATGCCTGTCTCTGACGCAAAATAAATACACCCATAATTTCCTTACAGCATCTTTAGATGCGGTCCCATTTAAACGCTAGGTAAATCAATGCTGTATTGCGCATTGAAAATACATTTGGAGGTATATGAACCCCCCAAAAAAACACAATCATCCTGTACGTACGTACCTATGCAGTGTCCTGCACTGTCCAAAATGCATGCAAAATTACGTTTGGGTGCCCTGTCAGGGCAACTCTGGGGATGTAACTGCTTTATAGCACAACCTGGGAGAGAACGAGAGCTCTTGATCAATGACAACTCTGAGGTTCCGCTTGCACGCTCTCTTGCCAGTGTGATGTTAAGAGTTTATAGGAGGTGCGAGCTCTAACCGGAGTCTTTACCGAGAGCTTAGCGGAAGTAATTCAGCGTTACCAGCCTTCACCTGGAGGATTTTGGAACCGATCCGAATTGAGACAAAATCAAGGCAGGGTGCAAAAATGGACAGATTTTGGCGTCATATATGGTCGACTTTAAAACAGCACACGACTTTACCAAGCAGGATGCTATATATTGGGGAGAGCAGGGGAGGGGGGGTGAGCGAAGGATGGAAGCACGTGGGCTTCTGGGAAGGGGACGGTCCTTGTGTGGATACATAGCAGCAGCTTGAGGGGTAAGAGTGGAACCGGGAGAGCGTTGCGCAGGAGACACCTGGAAGGCTGTGGGGGCCACTCAGGGATGAAGTGGTCTGTAGCACTGAAAGCGGCGGAGGGGTGCACGGGGGTCCGCGTCTACAAGAGCTATTTGTTTGCGTTTCATGTCTTCCCTTGAACAGGCACTGGCCTATTAACGCTAGCACGGGTCGTCCTCAAAGAAAACTCGAAGAATAATTAAGGCGCTCCTCAATAATGGCTTCCATTTCAAATATACGTCTAGAATGAATGCTACGTAAAAAAAAAAAATCCAAGTAGCCTTTGTTGTTTCATTTTATCGGTGGGTACGCGGCGGGGCGGGGTGAAGGGGGGGCGGTTTCCACAACAGAGGAAACTTAATCCAAACACTTTTGGCACAAACGGCGTGGTCAAGCCAGGCTTGAAATCTAAGTCGGGCCCCAGAGGTGATTACCCTCGGAGGCCACAAACCCGACAGGGTTCTTTGACGACTTCAAAAGCGAGTGGTGAATCGTTTTTTTTTTCTCACAATCACAAGCGCGCTTTTCCCTCCAAAACAAACGGGAAGAGTCGGCGCGTTGTGCGTGCGCGTGTGCGTAGCGGTTACCGCACCGCACTACAAACCCCACGGCGCGAGTTGCAATGTGGAGCAAACATCGCCAATAGGGGAGACAAAGGCGGCCAGGTGTGGTGCTGGTCAACCACCCCCTCGTGTGCCGTACCGGCCTTCATAGTCGCACGCAAACAGCACTTGCCCCTACGGTCGATTAAAAGGCTATACAGGTGGTCTTTGTCTTGTGTGTGTGTGCACGTGTCTCTCTGAAGGATGGACGGACGTTTATGCAGAAGACGGGTGTGGATTTATGACCTTTACCGGTTTTATTTCTGGCGGGCATTTCGCTAACAGCACACGACACTTTCTGTGCGTGCAAGTAGCTCAGGAATTACGAGAACTATCAATCTCGGCAGAAAAATAAATAAATAAGCATCATCCACTTGACAATTCTTATTTTTCGTCTCAATCTGTAGGCATTACTTATATTACAACAACAAAACCTCAGCTGCAAAGTTACAAAATATAACCTCTCAAAGGACGGCTACGCTGAGATAAAGGAAAAAACTGAAATTTATGTCCATCTGCCGTCATTGTGAAACGGACCACATCACACGAGAACCAGGAATAATCAATTTTCACCAAAACCTCGATTCCATGCCAGGATCTAAGCAATGTTGACTCAGTGTTGTGACACAGCCAGCAGCTGCCACAGAAGCCAGAAACCCAGGAAAGGCCTCACTGTCTCGCGACTCTCTTTCATTTGGAACAAATTCACGAACGAGCGTCGTCAGATGGGAGGAAACGCAGGGAGAGCCTGGAGAAAACCCACGTGCAAGAGGGGGTATAACACTCAACGGTCACGGTTCACGTAGCCACTGCGATCTCGTGGCCACCTCAGCCTGAGCATGGTGCTCCCTGCAAGTTGCCCATCTGAGTACTATCCCAGCCGAGCCCTGCGTAGCGCCGAGATGCCATCCAACGCATTTAAGGGTTATTTGGCCATAGGTACTCATGTAATAATCCTTGTGCATTATACGCAGCGTCCTGAAGAGAATGGTCAACAGAGCACGAGAGTGTGTGTGTGTGAACCCACCTGAACAGGTACATGTAGAGGGACGCCGTGATACAAAACAGCAGGACCTGTGAGCAAACAATGAACAGCCGTTACATTGGGAGGTGTTACTGTGAGCGTGACCTGCATGCAAGTGTGTGCAGTCATAACACAAGGCGAGCTTGAAATCCATACGTGATGCGCAGTAGCACGGCAGATGAATAATACCGCAGGTGTTGCTAGGCGGGTTGTTGCATCACAGGATTGTGAAAGACGGCATCGGTTTGGGGAGGCCTCGGTACAGCAGTGGATCGACATCGAAAACTAATTTCTTTAGAAACTGATTTTTGTTTCAAGTTTGTTCTTCCCCCGCACCGCCGATTAGCGCGGTTGGCTACGTACGGTGCAGACGAAGTACGACGACGAGGATGGCGATTAATATTGCCTAATGAATATCGATGATATGGTATTCAGCCATTATTACGAACCGTGATCCGTCGTTTGTAACGAGCGTAGCTGCAGGAATGCATTCTCCCATGTGGATTGCTGCCTCCACACAACGATCGCGTTACATCGGCGAAACCCCGCGTATAACAACCGTAAGTGGAGCCAAACATCCAAATTCACGGTACAGTACTGTACAGTACTGTGAATACTGTACACATGTACCCGTTGATAATGTTTGAATGACAAGAACTGTGTCGTGTTTGTAAGACCCGGGTATTTGTACCGTACTATCAAGGTAACATTGTTGTACTGGTAGGAACCTCCTGGATTATTGTGTCCGTCCGTTGTACAGGGAGGGGCTGGGTGGGGAGGGAGGGGCTGGGTGGGGAGGGAGGGGCTGGGTGGGGAGGGGCTGGGTGGGCAGGGTGGGGCTGGGTGGGGAGGGGCTGGGTGGGGAGGGTGGGGAGGGGCTGGGTGGGGAGGGTGGGGAGGGTGGGGCTGGGTGGGGTGGGGCTGGGTGGGGAGGGGCTGGTCACCCCGTGGTGCCCTTATAAAACGCAACGTTTAACCTACTCACGCCGGCTTGTGCCCGCCCTCACAGTCGGGCATATTTGCGGAATACACCACGCCGCCGTTGACCCTGCAGGCCATTGACCGAGCAACCCAACGTTCCTACCAGCTCCCTCCGCAGGAATGTGTTTAAAATGTACGACTCTAGTTAATGCTAACCACATTAGTCATCATGAAAAACTGTACCAATTAATGATCAAAATCACTCAAGACTTCCAGACAATGTTGCATGTTGTTACAAACGCATGCTACCAATATAGATGCCGACAGTACTGTTTTACATTTTTATTATACCAGAAAAAACCCACTACGCTATTAGCTCTTTTATAGAAATGACCTTTGCCCAAATGATAGATGAACGAAGTGGCCTATCATGCACAAAATGTATAGCAGCCAAATACTCTAAATGGATATTGATCCTAAATGTGGAGGGGAAAATCAGAGGACCCGGAGAAAAATCCACGTGACCACGAGGAGAATATGCAAACCACAAATATACAGGCGTCAGGATTGGGATCGAACCCACGACCTCCTGCATACCAGGTGAGGGAGATAACATCTTGCCACCGCAGATAAGGCTAATGACCTAATGGACTCAACGCCCTCGTCTGCAGAGCTGGGCTCAGCCGAGCCGTGTGGTGGGGAACGTCACGCACCGCCGCTCCGTTACCTCTCCGTGCCTGACGGGCGTCACGTATCTGCGGGTCACGCACATCCGGAAGATGGTCTCGGTCGCCTGTAAGAAGGGACATCATGGCCAGTTGTGCATTAATAAAACGTGACCGATTCTATTCGCTTTGTGAAAGGGAAAATACAAATACTTTCTTTTACTCTTGCTCGTAAAATTATTTCGTCATGCTTTGTATTGTTTTTACATTTTCGACTGGTTCCCTATTGCTGTGACTTGTGTGAAGCACCTACCGATACTCGCTGTTTGCATCGCGACTTACGTAACCATGATGTGTAACTCAAATCTGTACTATGTAGCATCAAAAATAGAGCCTAACAAGTTATTGGTCCCTTCCTGCAAAAAAAAATCAATTCCATCTATCTTCCAGCTCTCCAACGTGTTGGCGGTTTGTACGGCGTGTTGTTCAGAATGACGTCCAACGTTTCTCGCTCCACCTTCCGGGAGATTTTTCAGGAACTATATTTTTTTGTTGCCGAACAACGCTGTGAATACAAACCAAAAACACAGCGGAGAGGGCTGTACGGAGCGACCGCTAAAACACCCACGTGGGAGCAAAGGGGGTCGTTGACCGTTAGGGCAGGTCACTAAACGTAAATCACAATCCGCTGTGGGGATGGTCACTACTTACTTACACCTCTTCATCCCCAACGGGACGTAAGGCAAGGTGACGGGATGTCCAAATTGTCACGTTATCCCGAGTCAAGCTCACTCCAGTTCAGTTTCAGTTTCAGTTCAATTTATTTTGAATTGCCCTGTGAGCCAATAGGCTCTTAAATATCGGGTTTCTAGAAGCAAAAACAACACCACTGCTTTCCCGACATATGCAACAAGTCACAGTAAAATAACTTAACAATGAACAATAATAGATAAGCGAAATAAAAAAGATAGCAAATCATAATCGAAATATAAAAATTTCTATTTTAAAAGAAAAAATTAGTTAAATATTGATAATTATTATAAAAATACAACGCTTTATCTCTAAAAAACAGTAATTTTAATCTGCCATATTAATTTTAATGCAGATACACTTAGAAACGAGACACTGGCAGTATTTACACCGGCGCATGTGCGCGAGTGGCATGAATTTTTAAATACACCTTTAAAGATGCAAAATTAAAAGACAGATGTGTGTGTGTGTGAAGTCTTAAAAAAAATCCTATTTAAAGTGGCGTCATTGTGGCGGCAGCGAACGAGATTTTATTTATTTCAATAAAAAACTAGATTCTTACGATCAATTGTTGCACGAGTATAATCAAGGCATAATTTCGCAACAAAAACTACATCAGGAACTCGACAGCCACGCTCCAAGTTTATCTTTATTAGCCAGCCAAGAACTCAAGAGACCAGCATGAGTCTCATTTGCAGGAGTGACCTCAAATCACATTAATAAACGGTTCCATGTTTGGATAACGTAGGCACTGGTGACCTGGCTAACAACACAAGTTTGATTAAATAAAAAGGTCCCGTAGATACAACTGCTCAACAACTGCATTACCTTTGTACGAGATTTGAAGTTTGCGTGACTGCAGGGATCCATACTCTTTGGTTCTTTCGGTAAATTAATGTAGGTATAAGATAAAATAAAATAAATTACGACGTTTCGGGCACGACACAAGCGTCCGTCATCAGGTGGGACAACCACAGCAAGAAACAATTGCTCTTGTTACAATTGCTCTTGTTACAGCAGCTCTTTTGCCCACTTCAGCAGCAATTGGTTGTCCCACCTGATGACGGACGCTTGTGTTGCGCCCGAAAACGTCGTGATTTAATTTATTTAATACCTACGTGACATTACCAAAATAACCAAAGAGTATACCTTTGTACAGTAAAAACCTTGGATTGCGAGTAACTTGGTCTGGGAGTGTTTTGCAAGATGAGCAAAAATTTTAAATAATATAAATTTGATAAACGAGCGAGGTCTTGCAATACGAGTAGTACGTGTATACGCTTTGTCTGCCCAGCGTCACGTGATCACAACTGATATACGAGTACCCTTAGGTTTTTTTCCGGTAAAGTCACGTAGGTAAAAAATAAAATTTAATGTTAATAAAAGTAAAAATGGATTTAATCATGGATTTATTATTTTATTTTAATTATTACTTTTATTAACTTTTCATTTTATTTTTTACCTACGTGACTTTACCAGAAAACACCTAAGAGTATGAATCCTTGCAGTCACAAAAGCTTCAAATCTAGAAATCATATACGAGTGCTTTGGATTACAAACACATTTCCGGAACGAATTATGCTCGCAATCCAAGGTTTTAGTGTGCTGTTTTGCCTTTTGGCGTTCTCTAGTCCAACACTGGTGAGACAAGGTGATTAAGAAGGATGTCTCTGGGTGTTGGCCAATAAGTTTCAAATGCAATGCAAATAATACCGGAGCATGTTTGTTTGCATATTTTGCCACAAGTACTGTGTGGCCAACGCAGACTTGATGCCTTGCAATCGGTGACCATTTGGTTTTTGAACATCTCTTCACACCTCCTGTGTTATTTCCAGAAAGGGGGTAAAGCCTATACTTATTACTTTTCGATTCTTTCGGTAAAGTCACGTAGAACGAACATAAATTAAGTAATAGAATACGACGTTTCGATTGCAACACAAGCAATCGTCATCAGGTACGAATGAATGAGAAAACAAACCGAGTACACTTAGAAATATAGTGCGATACAACACAGAGAGTCGGCTAACAGAACAGTCAACACCATACCTACACTTATTATTTCATCATTTTGATATTGGCAAAAACAGGTCCCACAGATACCATAAGCTTGTTTCCACTCTGAAGACAACCCTGGATCAATTACGGGTGCCTCAACGGGGATTCAAAGCCAGAAATGTCAGCTGGGCTGGCTCAGAACTTCAACAAGAACAACGTCACTGAGCCAGCGAGGATATAAAAGCCCAAACGGAGCGGCAGATGCTCAAGCTTGCTCTTGCTCTTGCATACCTGTCAACCCCTTATCAGTGCACCTACCTTATTACAGACAAATTCAGACCTTATTGGTCACCCCGTGCCTTTATAAATCTCAACGTTCATCCTTCAAAGTCCCATCAAAAGTGAGAAACACAAACAAATAGACAAAAAAATTATTTGGCCGTAAATTTCGATTTAAAGCTTTCGTGACTGCAGGGAATCATCTTCTTGGTTCTTTCGGTAAAGTCACGTAGAATGGAAATAATAAAATAATAAAAATAAAACATAATAAAATAATTCTCACGACGTTTCGGCCACAACGCAAGCAGCCGTCCTCAGGTCAAGCACAGGTGAGAATTATTTTATTATGTTTTATTTTCACCTGAGGACGGCTACTTGCGTTGCGGCCGAAACGTCGTGAGAATTATTTTATTGTTTTATTTTTATTATTTTATTATTTCCATTCTACGTGACTTTACCGAAAGAACCAAGAATATATTTGGCCGTATTTAAACGGCTGCACGCCGTATGGACTTGAAAACTGAATTTCCCTGTAGAAGAATATGGGTAAACTATATGGGTTGACAGGTATGCATGTGTACGCAATGACGGCACTGAGCTTTTTATTACACGCTTTCTATTAACTCACTCTGTCTGTTGTTGTCGTATCCTCAAATATTGTAACTCAATTTTAACCCACTTCCCAATGTCGTATCGACTGCAAACTTCGTATACTTATGTCATACTGATGACAATACTATATTCTATCATTTAAAAAAAATGTTTAAACCATCTTTTTTATGTTATGTTTCGCCTTGGGTCTAATTGTCCACGCTCAACTAACGTTGGCTGTAAATCACCACGGTCCCTTATGTTATGGCAAGCCTCGGGGCCACTTCCTGGAGTCGTGGAGTTCTGCCATTACTCGTACGGTACATTTCATTAAAGCGTGTTGAAAAAAAAAAGTATTTTTAAATATTACTTATATAACTTTCCATTAGGGTGCAGGTATTGCTTCCATAGGAAAAATGATACATTCCGAGCCTTTTAATCTCAAGTCAGTGATGAGACGTCAGTGATTAATTGCCTTTAAGGAAGTTCTTTTTTTGGCATCGTAGCAAAGTGTACGTTGCAAGCTTAGGTCACCCAGCACGCCCCACTTTCATCTCGACTACGGGGATATAGGTCACCGGCTTGCTACTTGTAATGCACCGCTCAGACATCAGTTTGCTCTCAGCAGCAGCTAATGGGACGCTAATGGGAAGGCTTAACCAAGAAGCTACGGGTGGAACGATGCATCGATTCATCAATTTATATTGATGTGGTAAGCTCGCTATGCACGCAATAGGCCTCGGCAAGGAAAGGTAAATTACATTTTTTACCGGGTAAAAGGATAAAGGGTAAAAGTTTCGACATGCCAAGGGGTAAGGTAAAGGGTAGGGTAAAGGTAGCTCAGAAGAATTACCCGGTAGGGTAAAGGTAGCGCAAATAATTACCCGGTAAATACGGTACCTTGTTTACCGCTAAAAGCTCCGTGGCGCAGTCCGTGGCCTCCATTTTAAATTGCGATAATTGAAGTCGGACCAGATGGAGACGGTCCACGTTCTTGAGATAGAGGTAATAGAGGACGATGATGCCAGCAACGGCATTTTTGGGGTTGCTGCGAACAGCAATCGAAAGAGGCAGCGGCATGCGTTACCGTGAGAGCACACGCACGATTGGATGGAGGGTGATCCCCATGTACAGCAAGGGAAGAGGTTTTCCACCCACACGAACGCGTCGGGGTGGAAAGCCCACCTCAAGAAGCACACGTCGGCGTCGGCTGCCTGAAGGTTCCGTCTAACTGGGCCGGAGCGGTGCAGGATCTTATTGCCTGTCGTTCGTCCGAGGACGATGGCAATGACGAACTTGATCAGGCTGTTGATGAGATCGCCATCGACCAAGACGACTGGGACGAGGAGGTTATGGAGGACGATGTCGTCGACAGCCTCAACGCCCGATTTGAGAGTATTCTATATGTATAAAGCGCTCTACCTAGCATTTATCGTTATAAACCTTTTTCATGTGTTGTACCCCAGTAATTTCCCTGTTATCGGGTAATTTGTATGGGATAAGGGTAAAAGGT